CCATTGAAATTGTGTATTAAAGCAATTTGCCTGCCTGCAAGTTTACTATCGGGTCAGCTGAAGTCAACACACCGTCTTGATCCACGTGGAAGCCATTGTGAGACCAGAAGCCAGGTCAAAGGTCAAAGTCTCCTGTGTTTGGGATCCTGAGGGTCGTGGAGAGTGGTAGTGGCCCTGGAACGCATGGAAATCACGCATGTGCTCCCAGCGTTCTCTCTATAGTCAAACCACAAATTCCGAGTCAGTCACCATAGCTCTGGTCTTCCACGCTGTTTTGCAGGTCTTGATGCCTTGTGAGAAATTAAGCTGGGAACTTACCATCCATTCATTTTATTCTGTTATTCTAGTGGCTGTTAGGACAGGCCGCTGCTCTCACGTGAGGCTTCCTCTGGTCAGTTTCTGAGAACAGCCTGCCCGACACCCAGCCATGCGAACGGCCGACACCCAGCTATGCGAAGGGAAAGCCCACCTCCAGCGTTACAGCGTCAGGAGCTCCCACTGTCCCCTCCCCAGTGGAAATGGTGAAATTAGTGCAAAAGCAACCCTTTAAGCCTCCGGAAACCATCCTAAGGCCAACAGCCAGCGAGGAAGCATGTGCTGATCAGGACTCCTCAGGAAGCAACCCTCCCTCCCCTGCCCCTGCCCCAGGGCAGGTGGGGGCTCCCTTCCCCGACCCTAATGGAGGGCTCTTCCTGGGAGGGGCGGGACAGCAGCGTTTCTCGTCCTGCCCTCATCTACCTGCTGCTGAGGCCAAGTCCTGGGAGAGAGTGGGGGTGAGAAGAGGGGTTTTCCTTGTCTGCCCAGCTCCCTCTGCTCCGGCTGCAGCACTGAGAAGGTTGTGAGGGAAAGTAACTGGGAAGAGATGCAAGACCCGGGTTAAGTTATAGGCCCTGTAGTTTGCCCAGGACGGGGAGGAGGGAATGAGAGCTGGGAGGAACCTAACTGGAGTCAGAAAACAATGTCAAACGTGGATCTCAAACACGATTCCCCCAAAGGAACCAGAACTTGGGTTAATGTGTGCTGTGTGCTCCAGGGCGTTGTTGAAAGAGCTGTTGGTCACACGTCAGCAGCTGAGCCGCTGGGTGTGATCAGGAGTGGACAGGGGCCCCGCAAGACATGGTCACAGAACTAGAGAAACCACGAGGAAGAAGGAAAGGAAGGGCGATAAAGGAATACTATGAACTGAGGAACATCAACTTAGATGAAATGACAAACTCTTAGAAAAACACAAATTACTGAAACTGATTTAAAAATAGACAATCTGAACATATAAAGTGAAGAAGTTGAATAGTAATTAAAAACTCATAAAGAAAAGCCTAGTTGGCTTGACTGAATTCTACCAAAAAATTAAAGTAATTCTTCATAAACTTTACTAAAAAAGTAGAAGCGGGAACACTAACCAACTTATTTTTCTGAAGCCAGTATTACAGACAGTCCTCGGGTTACGTGACCCAATGTACGTCGTTTTGTGGTTATGTCGTCATCTCCCATTTATTTGTATAAAAACTTCCGTCATTTTTATTACTCATTTACCACAAGTAAAGGTCAGGAATTGTTATCTTTTAAATTTTTTTACTGCTTCACTTCATTCCTGCTGTGTCTGGGCCCCATGTGAGTGACGTAGGTGCTTATGTAGGTGGGTTCCGACTTGCGGCGAAAATCGAGTTACGTTGTGCTGTAGGAAAGGATCTCCGATGTAACCTGAGGACTTACTGTATTACCCTGGTACCAAATCCAGAGACATTATAAGAAAATACAGGCCTATCTCTCTTATGAATATGGATGCAGGAATACTCAGCAAATTAACAAACTGAATCCAGCAACATATAAAAAGAATTAACACTATGACCAAGTGGGATTTATCCTAGAGACCCTAGTTGGGCTTAACATGCAAAAGTGACTATATTGTTTTTTTATTTTCTATATTTTATGATGTTTTGACATCCTGGGGCATAGACACTGCCCCTCAAGGGCTAATGAATTCCTAGAGATAGGAAACCACTTGCCTTTCATGCAAACCAAGGAATCCAACGTCCATGTCGCAGACACCTAACGCCCACCAACACACAGGCCAGTATTCCTCTCCCCTGCCTCACCCCAGGCAGGCACCTGACAACTAGAGGCCACTCCCACAGCCTAGAGCCCCCGAAATTACACAAACTATCCAATCCTAAAATTGCTCAAAACTGCCTGTGCCCGCCCACTCCTTCCTACAGAAACTAAACTAAGATGGTGGGCCGTGTACTCCTTGAGCCTCACACCTTCCCTGAACTTGATGCTGTCGTATGTGGCTCCGTGTGGCAAGTTCCAGTCTCTTTACACCTCACTGCACCCAACCAATCCTGGGCGTCCTTACAATGAGCATGTAACACATGGCATCAAGACTGGAAACCAGAAGCCACCTCTCCTCTCAACAGGTGCAGAAAACACATTTGACAAAGTACAACACTTTTCATGAGAGTCAACAAATTAGGACGAGGATGAAACTTAATCTGATAAAGGCCACCTGTAGACACACTCATAACCAGTATCATACTTAATGGTCAAGATTGAATATGACCCCAGGGGTCAGGAAGAGGGCAGAGATTTCTACTCTTAACACTTCTATTCAATATTGTATTGGAGGCTCTAGCCAGGGCACTGGCATGCAGAGAGAAAGGAAGTAAAATACCTCTATTTGCAGATGACATCATCTTGAATAAGGAAAGTCCTAGAGGGACTCACTAAATACATCAGAATAAATGAGTAGAGTGGGGTTGCAGGATACAAGATTGATATACAAAATCCAACTGTAATTACACTCAAAATGAACAATCTGAAACTAAAACCCAGAAAACTGTTCTAACAGTATCAAAAAAACCAAAAGACTTCGGCATAGAGACAGACCAATGGTTGCTTAGGGCTGGGGGAATAAGGGTGATAGCTAGAGGGCACCCCTTTTTTTGAGGTGATAAAATGTTCTACAACGTACTGTTATAATCTATGTCCATGAACATACTAGTAAACACTGTACACTTCAGGTGAGAGATTTGCATGAAATGCGAGTTATATCTCAAACCCTTGAAGAGATTACGATGAAAAAACCACCTTTAACAGCTGATATTAGGAGTACTTGTCAGGCACTGTGCTCACTGATTTATACACTATTTCATCTCATTTTTATACCAATCTGTGACGTATCCATAATGTTCTACAATGTACTGTTGTAATCTATGTCCATGAACATACTAGTAAACACTGTACACTTCAGGTGAGAGATTTGAATTCATGTTCCTCTGACTTCAAAAGCTGAGAATGTATAGCCTCTTATAACAAAGTCTCAGAAACAGGCCGACGCTCTATCCATTGAGCCAAACCGGTTTCGGCATCATCTCATTTTTATACCAATCTGTGACGTATCCATTTTGCACTTAAGGAAACAGTGGCTTAGAGATCTTAAAACCTTGCTCAAGGCTACATGGTGGGTAAGGGAGAAAGTCAGGATTTGAATTCATGTTCCTCTGACTTCAAAAGCTGAGAATGTATAGCCTCTTATAACAAAGTCTCAGAAAGTTGGTTCTCTGATCCCACAATGGAGATAGACTGTGTATGGAGTTAGGAAGCAGGCAGAGTCCAGGTCGCCTCGGAAGCTGTCCAGGTGTGATCGCTAACCACCTACCCTCCAATCACCTCCAGTTCCTCCTCGTCGCGCCTTGCTACTGTTCTAGCGTACGCTCATCCACTTGGGCGGTGGGTTTGAATGAGGTGCAATCTTTTTGAAGAGGGTCTTAAAAGCTGTAAATATGTAACTGTCTGCTTCTACATCCTTTGGTTTAAAACTTGCGGTTACTCTAGTAATGTTAAAAGCCAGTGAGAAGTAAACCCCGAAATAGCTACTTCCAGTGCGTTGATTGGCCAGGATATAAAACCATTTTATTTCCTTTTTTGGGGGGAGGGACATTTAATTCACTGACCACAAGTCAGTTCTTTGACATTTTTAGTTACCTAGTTACATACCTGCCTTGTTGCTGGATTATTTTCTGCGACATGGATGAATGCCAAGGGCAGAACTGGTACAAGCTGAACATGTGCAGATGTTGCTGGACAAGGGGAAAGGAGCAGGTTGTACAAGTGGGAAAGACCTCTGTAAGGTCATTACATTCTATCCTGTTCAGGATCCATTACTGCCCAACAAGCCTGGGGGGAGGGGAGGGGGGAGAGGAGGGGAGGGAATCTCAGCAAACCCTCATCCAAATCTCATTTCCCCTGTGCTCATCTCAGATGCTCTGGCTCGAGGAAATCGAGATCTGTCGAGGCACAACTCCACCCGACCTTTCTCTGGGTGCCAAGATGGACGATCTATTAGCACCACGTGCGCCTGCTGCACATGTATCAGACGTAAAGCTGTCAGCTAGTGGAACAAAGGGTTTCCCTCCAAAGCCTGTCTCTAGTACAGCGTTCACCCACAGAGACTGTCAAGTTTGCTAAATGGGTTGACTGTTCAGAATTACTTTAAATAGCTAATGCATTGGTAATCCAAGACAAACTATTGCTAGAAGGTCTTAGAATGAGTCTAACCCAGGGGTGGGCAAACTTTTTGACTCGAGGGCCACAATGGGTTCTTAAACTGGACCGGAGGGCGGGAACAAAAGCATGGATGGAGTGTTTGTGTGAACTAATATAAATTCAAAGTAAACATCATTACATGAAAGGGTATGGTCTTTTTTTTTTTTTAGTTTTATTCATTTCAAACGGGCCGGATTCGGCCCGCGGGCCGTAGTTTGCCCACAGCTGGTCTAACCCATATTTTATCCTAAAATGTAGCAATAGTTTTTGCAAAAAGTTATAAAAATATATTTATACATAAATGCCTCTATAAAACTGTTCATTCAGATTTGGCAATTTGTTTGCTTATGGTCTACTGTTGAGGGAAAAACGTAAGTTTATTACCGATAGACACCACATGTCTATATTTACCAAACTGCATGGCTTTAAAAATTATTAACTTGACAGTACATTTCTCTTGTCAATTTTTTTATTGTGCTACTTGTGCAAAGGATGAAATTAAGTGTTTACTGAATTATTTAGATCTTTAAATTACTCATTTAACAAGTTCATTTAAATAAGTTTACTATTCCATAAATGACAAGCAGCTTAAATACAAGTTTGATAACTAAAATTTTAAAAATAAAATATAAGTCATAGTCAAATTTCCGACAAGGCAAGGGAACATTGATCACTAAGTGACTAAAAGGCCGCACTCGCACGGCTACTCCACACTGTCAGTACTTGGTGTAGGCATGTGCATCATCCTCTCATTATTCGTATTGCCATTTGGTAGAAAAATAATATAGAAAGCACACTCCTTACGCTTAACATTAAAAGTTTAGCCAACAAAAGCAGTTTGCTTCTAGACAATCAATTAATGGTCCATTCATTACACACTATCCATCACCTCTTATAAATTATTTTACAACACTTATTGAATTTTAGAGCCTACACCAAGTATCACCACGTAATTGCACAGTCATACAACAGAGAACAGTGTTGTTTTTCTTTTCCTTTTCCCACATCTACTCACACACTTTCCCATCCTCAATGGTCTGTGCCTGAGGTCCTGTGAGAATCTGCCAGTTTAAAAACCTGAATATTAAGGGATTTCTGTGATTCAGTAGCAAGCTCCTTCAAAGCAATAATAAAATTTCTCCAGACTTCACGTTCTATCAATACTAGCTGCACACAAGGTACAATGAATATCCATGAGAGAGATTTTTTTTACATTCCCCTGCTTCTCAAACCCTTTTAAGAAGTTGCTAGTGAGCAGTGAACCGGTCAATCTAACCTGGATAATTAGTCTCTGAATAATTTAGAGACTTTAAAAATAATAGCCTTTAAGCCTGCTGAACAAGAAATACCATTACATTTAACCAATGCATTACTTAGAAAGTTACTCATCTGAGGTAGAATACATAAAATTTGTTAAACTACAAAAAAGTGGCAAAATTACATGCCCATAATTCAACTTGAACATAGCAACCACACCCCCCCCAAATACTTTATTAGAAATCTTAATCACAGAAGCAAAAGTGCATAAATTATAAAACAGCAACTTAAAAAACTTAGCAGTTCAGTTGTCCTCATTTTAAGATTGGTTTAATACTTTTAACTGTAGAGAAAGACAATGGGCCCAATGCCTGCTAGCGTATAAAATCATCACTAAAACAAATTCCTCTCAAAAATCTAACCGACACAAACTCCTATGAAGTGTATACTTTATTTAACATTCTAATAAGCCATATTTACATATTATATAAATGTCTGAAGTCTTAATATAAAATAGGGATAAAATGCCTCCACTAAAAGAATCATACTCCATATGGAGTGATTTTACTTATGGAAGACCTTCTGTTTACAAAAATTTACAATTTATATAAATTACTGTCTTCCAAATTAGGTGATTTTTAATAATCCACATAATTCTGGTGACTTTACAAACAGGTGTACAATAAAACTTGGAAACAGTTACAGCATTTTTCTGCGGACAATTTGTTTTGGGAAGGAAGACGGTCTCTTCCTGTTCCTCCCCAGAGCTTTTCCCGTCTCCTCGATGGTTCTCCTCGGCCTGCTCCTCACTCTCTCAGCTGGGGTTGCCAAGGGAGAAATGAGCTTAATCTCTACTGGAGGAGGTGACCAACTGTCTTTCTCTGTGGTTCTGAAAAAAAGACATCATTCCAGTAAGAATAAACACGCCATAATATAAACCACAACTGGCTTCTCAATACACGAGAAGAAACCTTAGGGATGATGACCTTTTCCTAGTGCTTTCATTTCATAAGAGAAGCGAAGTGAAGCTTTAACTCATATAAGCTAATCAGAGGCAGAGTTAAAGTGTCACATGACAGAAACTTCTCTTTTTAATCTGAATATTCAAAAGCATCACTACTGAATGTTCTTAAATGTTGCATATGTCCTAATAAATACTGCTGGGTTATAGAGACTGACCCAGCCCCAGTAGTCAGTCCATGGAATAAAAGCCCGCAGGCCCATGAAAGGAGAAGAAAGCAATTCTCAAACAGCAGCAATTAGCAATTATGTAGATATTTTCGTAACAGTATGAAGTAGTTTTCCACATACATACAAAGCCAGTTTATGTGTAAATAGTGTTGTTGTTATTATAGTCAAAAGACTCATTAAATTCATTTTTAAAGTAAGATAAAATGGGTTACTTTTCTAGAATTCAATGATGTCAAAGCACAGCATAAATAAAATACCATGTAACAAATATATCTGAAATGGAGTAATTTCCCCATGGGTAAAGTTATATAGCTATTAGTGAAATAATCACAGGATCTTTATTTACTTTTTACTAATAGCCATCTATTTTTACTAAAGAAAATGTAAAACATCTCACTCCCATGCAAAATCAAAGACTCACTGGTGTTAAACTGCTTCTTTAAGGAGGATGAGTGGCTTTCACACGATAAAGAAAACCACTGTGAAGTCAAACAGCTGCAAGGAGCCAGTGCTTGTCAACGACCCTAAGAATGACCCTGTCTAATGAGCGTGACTTCCTAGTTTAAGCCAACTCTCCTCACATCCCACATTAAGGAACAGAACATAAAACCACAGCATAGGAAAGGCCGTACCTGCTTGCTTGTTTCGTTTTTCCAGTCCTCATTCTTTTCACTCTTTGCTGTCCCACAGCATCATCTTCCTAAGAGTTGAAATTTTAAAAAGTTAAATCTTTAGTAGTTAAACATTCGAAATCTAAATTTAAAAAGTTCTTTACTAAATCAAGGAATACAATCAAACAGTCCTAATGAATTCAAACTCAGCAAGTCTCATACGAACTCACTAGAGGCCCGGTGCACGAAATTCATGCACTGGGCCGGGGGAGGGGAGGAAGGCCCTCAGCCCGGCCTGCATCCTCTTGCAGTCTGGGAGCCCTCAGAGGCTCCCGCCACCACCACTGCGCTTGCCAGCCATGGGCCCAGCTTCTGGTGAGCGGCACTTCCCCTGTGGGAGCGCACTGACCACCAGGGGGCGGCTCCTGTGTTGAGCGTCTGCCCCCTGGTGGTCAGTGCATGTCATAGTGGTTGATTTGCATATTAGCCTTTTATTATATACGATTTTTTAGTAGAAAACTATCATCTAAGAATGCTTTTTATCCCTCATCCTCACACACAATTATCCGCCTACCCAGTTTCATGTTTTGATGTTTCCACTGTTCACTGCCCTTTTGTTCCCAACTGTCCAAAGCCAGGCTCTCATCATCTCATAAGAACTGGGCCACCGAAGACCATTTTTTCCTCACCACAATTCATTTTTCATAGAGACAACTTAAAATATGCACAGGGCTAGCCTGGCCAGCATGGCTCGGTGGTTGAGTGTGGACCTATGAACCAAAAGGTCATGGTTTGATTCCCAGTCAGGGCACATGCCCAGGTTGAGGGCTCAATCCCCAGTGTGGGGTGTGCTGGAGGCTTCTCTCTCATCATTGATGTTTCTATCTCTCTCCCTTCCTCTCTGAAATCAATAAAAATATATATTTTTAAATGCACATAACAACCCCCCCCCCCATAGCTATTTGTTCATGTGCAGACGGATCCCCCCAGTGCACTGTCATGCTTCATGCCTTTGCCACTGCTGTTATCTCTGCCAAGAATGCTCGTCTCCTTTACCTTCTTTCTACCGGGGCATTTGGGTAGAAGTGATTCTTATTGTGCTAGAAAATAATTGTGCTTTTGCCTCTTCAATTAAACTGAACTCCTGAGAGACAAGGAATTTGCCTGAATTATTTTTGTCTAAGTCTCTGTCCTTGCACGGTAGCTGGATAACGGCAGATAATTAAAAAAATGCTTATGAATTTATATTGGCAAATGATAGGGTCTCAAAGTGTACACAAGGCAATTTGGGGATGTTAATAAAAATGTATGCCCTTCTAAATTTATTTTATTTTTAAATATATTTTATTGATTTTTCACAAAGAGGAAGGGAGAGGGATAAAGAGTTAGAAACATTGATCAGCTGCCTCCTGCATACCCTATACTGGGGATGTGCCCGCAACCAAGGTACATGCCTGTGACTGGAATCGAACCTGGGACCCTTGAGTCCGCAGGCCGACGCTCTATCCATTGAGCCAAATCGGTTAGGGCGAATGTATGCTCTTTTTTTAAAAAAGTTTATTTAGCTCTAACCGGTTTGGCTCAGTGGACAGAGCCTTGGCCTGCAGCCTGAAGGGTCCCAGGATCGATTCTGGTCAAGAGCATGTACCTTGGTTGCGGGCATATCCCCAGTAGGCGGTGTGCAGGAGGCAGCTGATTGATGTTTGTCTCTCATCAATGTTTCTAACTCTCTATCCCTCCTCCTTCCTCTCTGTAAAAAAATCAATAAAATATATTAAAAAAAATAGTTTATTTAAAAGCCATTGCTAAAAAAAAAAAAAAAAAAAGCAGGCTTAAACAAGCATAGAGATAAAATCATACACTTCTTACCAGTTCCTGCACAAGTTGGGGTGTCTTAGACATGTTCTTCCGCCTGGTCCTCAGAGCAGGAGGTGAGAGGACAAATGGAGAAGATAAGTCTGAGATTAATTCTTTCAGCTGTTCAGGAGCTTCTACTTTTATAGCTAAAGAAAGGTAGAAAAAACAACACTGTAACTATTTCACTTTATATAAACATATACTTTTTTGGTAAAAACTTGAAGTAAGTATGGGCATTAGACAGATACAAACATGGCCAAACAGAAAACACTAGTATCATAACTTAGTACCCACGAGAGAAATGACAGTAAAAATCCCAACATCATTTGGATAATTAAGTGTTCAGGAATAGTTAATGCTGCAAACTAAATGCCATAATGTGAAAATAGGGCGTAAAGCAGATACAAAATAGTATTATACCAGCTTTAATCTTTACGGCTCCTCAAACATTCCGAGGAGGGAAACATCATTCTTATATGTAACCTGGGCTAGTTTGCTTCATTAATTCCTACTGTTCCAGACACAAGGTTTTTATTTACAAAAGTAATTATATTTACAAAGAAGAATTCAAACCTTTCCTTCCAGCTCATTCTCAGTTAATTGTTCTAGTCAAGGGGAAGAACAGAAAAGTCCACATCATAAAAGGGAAAGGCAAGCAGAGAGAAGACATTTTAAAAGCTGATAGGAAGCTATTCCACAGAAGATAAAAATGATTGAATTAAGAATTGGTTTAGAATATGTAATTAAAAACATCTATCAGACTGAGTCTCAGATTTTGCTTTTTAACCATAGGGTTTCCATAGTAATGGCAATTAGCAATGTAATTGTGCAAGTGGCATGGTGTCGCTTAACCAGTCTGCCATAATGAAAGCCCAGCTTTGGACTTACTAGCTGTGGGGCCAAAGTTAAGTTACTGAGACTTTTCTGTGCCTCAGTTTCTATAAAGTTATTTGTGAAGATTAAAAACAATGTGTGGCATTCGGCAAGTGCTTTATAGATGCTTGCTTTTGCTATAATATTTTAAGAATATAATTAACAAATCTTTGAAATAAAATTATCAGATTATATAATTTAATGTTACTTCATTTACTGGGATAATCAAGAGTTCTATAAGATGTCAAATTCTGCTCTCTGTAGTAAAAGTGTTCCCACCAAGGCTGGCTCGGATAATTCTGGAACATTTTAAAAAAATAATTTTAAAAATATACTTTTATTTTTTAAAATATATTTTTATTAATTTCAGAGAGGGAGAGGGAGAAAGGGATAGAAATATCAACGATGAGAATCATTGACCAGCTGCCTCTTGCACGCCCCACTCTGGGGGATCGAGCCTGAAACCTAGGCATGTGCCCTGACCGGGAATCGAACCATGACCTGCTGGTTCATAGGTTGATGTTCAACCTCTGAGCCATGCTGGTCGGGCATAAAATATACTTTTATTGATTTCAGAAAAGAAGGGTGTAGGAGAGAGAGGTAGAAACATCAATGATGAGAGAGAATCATTGATGGACTGCCTCCTGTATGTCCCCCACTGGGACAGAGCCCGAACCTGGGCATGTGCCCTGACCAGGAATTGAACCTCTTGGTTCATAGGTAGGATGCTCAACCACTAAGCTATGCAAGCCAGGCAATCCTGGAACATGGTAACAACTGGCTCTCACCAGCCAGGAGTCTGCTCCAAGACACCACTACCTACTACCTGGGTGACAGGGGCGCTCAGTCTTACTGAACTTCAATTTCCTCAAATACTTAAGTGGGTTTTAGTGAGAATCCAATTGATAAAATGTATCCCCTACTATAGCCTCAGGCATAAAACAGATCCTTCTTAAATATCAGATGAATAATGAAAATTTGACAAAATGTATTGAAATGTCAAGTTTCGCATTGTTTTAGCTATAAGACACATCTAAATAAAATTCTTTGACAGGTTTCACTAGAGTACAGCCTCCAGCTTTCAACTGTAACCTAAATTAATTTCTAATCTAATATTTCTGTATTCACTCTTCTCTGAACCTCCTAAAGGAGCTTTAAAAATACAATTAAACAGGCACAGGGGGGAGAGATGTTCTTAAGAGTCTAGAAATTATCCTCTCAGGTCCAAGCAGAGAGGAGACTGCACCCAAGGGTGTACCTGCTAAGTCCTGAGGGGCAGGCATTCCCACCTTCACTGCAATGGCGAGGAAACAAGATTCAGAAAGGCCCAATACCTTTCTGCCTCACTAGGACATGGCAGAAACGAGAGATCCCAGCCCAGATTCCTCATCTGTCACTGAATCATCTCGTCCTAACGGCACCTGTTGATAATACTGGACTGACTACCAGGAAACCTGAAAACTCAAACACCTAACAGGAGATGGTTAAACAGCCTGTGGCACATGAGGGAGATGAAATGCCACACATGGACTCTATCACTGTGTATGAAACCAAACCAAAATAAATACAAAAACCACTCACTCAGGGTTTAGAGAAGGGTATCTGAAAATGCTCAGGAAATAAGTGGGGAAGGAAGCAAAACATACACATAAGCCATGGTTTATTGGTTTTTTTAAAAAAGAAAAAACATACACACACACACACACACACACACACACACATCAGTGACTGAAAGGATATATAAGAAAATGTGAGCAGTGGTTAGTGGTGCTCTAGATGGCTAGAGTATCTACGTTTAAATTCTAATTTTCTATGGCAGGTATGTATTATTTTTATTACAGAAAATGATAAAAGATGACTATGTAAAGATAACAAAAGATCAGAGTTATTAATATATTTGCCATACTATACCAAAATAACTTGCAATTTTTGTTTAAGTCACGAGGAAAGTATGAAAGAATTATGTTAATATTCTTCTGCCACGCTCACTGCTGTATTTTTTTCATTTTAACTTGAACTTAGCAGCCTTGATAAGTTAGCTAAAATCTCACGTTTTGTCCTTTCATTCTCCTCCATGCAAAATATATGCATAACCACATTTTCATAATACCATGAAGAAACTGAATTATATATAGTACTACCAAAATTAAAAATTAAAATAATTTGGGGAGGAGGACCTGCTACAACTACAAATCATTTTTAGAACTAATAAGCAATTCTATGGCAAAGGGCCATTTCCTGGACTCAGGCTATAGAAATATAACGAATGAGTGCATAAATACAATTTTTTAGAACAGTCTCGTTTCTCAAAAATTCAAATATTTAAAGCGGTTTTTGCATACTGAAAGCTGAAGATATGAGTTTGCAGATTTCTAAATGGCTTATCTTCCTCTTGGCCTTCCTCACAGCTTCAGGAAACCATAATAGGGTGTTCACTGATGTTAAAAATACAAGCAGCCGTTGAAAAAAGTTTAATAAAACAAGAAACTAAAATTAAGTTACTCAGCTTATACGAACAGAATAAAGAGAAATGATTTTGTTCTAAAAAATTAAACCCAAGTCAAGTGAAGTATAGGATTTAAAAGGTTATGATGAACCAGAAAAATTCTTAAATCTGAAAATAAACTTTAAAATAGAAAACCTTTAAATTTTACTATTAAAAGATCAAAATTGTTGTTTTGGAAGGAGAGGGATTCCCTGTAACCACAAATCATCTTTAGAAGAAATAATCAATCCTAGCTGGTTTGGCTCAGTGGATAGAGCCTGCGGACCAAAGGGGGTCCCAGGTTCGATTCCAGTCAAGGGCATGTACCTTGGTTGCAGGCTCTTCCCTGGCCTGGGCCAGAGGCAACCAATCGGTGTGTCTCTCTCATTGATGTTTCTCTCTGTCTTTCCCCCTCTCTTCCACTCTCCCTGAAAATCAATGGAAAAATATCCTCAGGTGAGGATTAACAAAACAAAACAAAAACCAAAAAACAACAACAAAAAAACCCCCAAAAAATCAATTACAGTCTGTATCAACTCAAATCATGCTTAAAACAATTTGAAACTGAAGACTGCATAAAATGAAAATTATACTTTGAATAGAAATAAACATACCTTTATCTTTCCTTGAAACCTTTGACACAGGAGAAAATAAAGACTCATTTTCTGGTGCAGAAAAGTCTGGCAGTAAAATGGCCTTGCTAGACCTAGTCCTTGTGCTACGGGAAAACTGAGTCACAGGAGTTTTGGCAAGTAATTTTTCTTCTCGGTCCTTGGGTTCCTTCTGCGCCATGTCTTCATCTATGTATTTTTCAGGTATTGAGCGTAATGAACGTTTTTGGCTTTGATTTTCAATCCTTTTTGTAATCTTTTTCTTAGAACTCATCACTGTAACAAGTTCCTCATTTGGCACTAAAACTGATTTTTCTAAAGTTGGTTTTCCAACCTCAGTATTTTCACTTTTAGCTGGGGTGTTTCTCGCAGATCTCTTTTGAACTTTGCTCTTCTTAGGACTGTTCTCTTCCTTAACAGCCTCGGATCCTACATCTAGTGATGGATTAATTTTCCTTGGTCTACCACGTTTCCTAGGTGTAGCAGGTATATCACCTTCTGCTTGAAGAGTCAAAGAAGATGAATCAAGTTTAGAGTCTTCTCTAACATCTGATGCCTTAATGTCTCTCTTTTTAACCCTTTTACTCCCTTGAACAGGCAGCTGCTGTTCACTTAACTTCCCATCTTGTTCATGTCCTGTGTTTTCAGAAGTTTCTAAATTAGCAGGTCTCAATCTTTTGTTACTTATGCTAGGACTTGCTACTTTACTGGTTTTTAGATCATTTACAATTTCAACACTTTCCTGATTTTCTACAGATTTTTTCATTCTTTTAGGAGTCTTTTTTGTAACAGATGAAAGCTTAGCTTCTTTTGTAAGAGAAGTTTCTGTGGTTGCTGGTTCCAACAACTGAGATCTTGAACTTCTTAATACCCTTCCTGGAGTGACCTGTAATTCTTGTTCCACAGAATGAAGACTCTCTAACGTGTCTTTCTTTCTCCTTCCTCTCTTAGGAGTAAGAGCATCTTGAGGTATTTGCTGGGTCTGAGATGGTTCTTTGACACTAGGAAAGGCACTTTCCGAAGCCTCCGAAGTTTCTTTTGTTTTCCTAGTTTTCTTTCTAACTGAGAGTCCTAGCATCTCAGGCGGAGCAGCATCTGCTGACTCTTCCTGTTGCACTGATTTCACCTCCAGGCTTTGGGTCCGTTGTCGTCGGGTTCGAGGTCTGGATGGAGTCATGTCATTAACTTGGTTAACATTCATAGTCACTGTACTTGCTTCCTGAGCAGTCTTCAATGGAGATTTGACTGACTTGGTGGAACTCCTTACCTTTTGGCTTATTAAAGGTATGTTTACATGAATGGACTGTTCCATCGTATCTGAAGTAATGTCTTTACTTCTTGTGTCTTTAATTACATCTAGTACATTTTCTGCTACTGCTGCTGTAATTGGTTCAGGCACATTCGGTAAGGCCTCTGTCTTTTGGGAGTCCTGTTCATTAGTTATGACAGATGGCAAGTTTGCAACATGTCCATGGTCATCATTTTCCCCAGTGTATACATGTTTTGAATCAGTTACTGTGTTAGCTGCTTTAGCTAGCACATTAGATGCTGCAGAATCACCTGTCTCAACTTCCTCTTCACCTTCCAATATCAAGGTGAAGTTGCTCTGAGCCACAAAGAGTTCCCCATCTGCTTCAGCAATGTCACCACACTCAGCAGAGTCTTTGTTATCAGGCAAGTCACAGAACTGTTGCTCTATGGTCTCAAAATTATATTGAAGCTTAAGAGTTCCTGAGGGATACTCAGTAAAGGAAAGATTCTTAGCCTCTTGTCCTGAGTCTTGAACTTCAAGCTTTTCATTTTCAATTACCTAAAATGAATTAAAAATAAGAGACTGGTTAAAGAATTTATATATATATATTTATTTATTTAAACTTAAAACATAATGTTTTTAAATGACCATTTCACCCTTGATGTATGAATTTTAAATACAAACTACTTTTGACATGGCATCTACTTATGGGTTTACTTTATAAAATACCCACTTAAGCAATCAGACTTTCTTATCAAAATAACTAGACAGTAAAAGATTTTGAGATTCTGATTGGAATTAAAGTAGACACCCACATTTCCCTGGCTAAAAAAGACAGTTTTAATTAACAAAACCTTGAAATTATTATGATGCTAATAATTGTGAGAAGAATTAAGGACTTACTCTGTTCTCACCCAAGAAAAAATTAATTGGAGAAAAAGAAATAACCCCCAAACTGTGTTTTAATGACAATCCCCAAATTACCTAGCTATCCACACTTTTCTCAACAGCATGATCCCCATAAGGTTGAAGAAGAGTTCACCTACATAAGCTCCCTTGGGCTAGACTCAATCCTCTTCCCTTTGCTGGGGCTGCATAAACCATGAAATTCCTAAGGCTTTCAAGTTCAGTCCCTCTCCTGCAAGGGTTTGGTGGAAGAAGGAATGGTCCTTGCATTTACCTTTTGGTAAGGGAAGGGGAGAAAAAGGAGGAGGTAGAAAGTAACAGAGAGATCTCCTGACCAAGAGGTAGAACATTACCACCCACCTAGACAATGACATTCCCCATTCCCCAAACATTCAATGAGATGACAGACTGGAAATACGCAGAAATGAGGATGCCCACTAACACCATGCCCACGAGTTTTTAAGCCTCCCAGCTAAAGGAATAGGGACTTTGTCCATCTATTTCACAGTGAATATGGACAACCATGACATTTTATGAGTTAAGAAACTTTCCAAATACTGTACAACCAAATTTCTATAAATAATTAAAATAGTTGCTTTTCCCCCTTCTTAAATTCAATTATCATATAAAAGTTGCCTGTCAATAATAGGAGACAATTGGAATTTTTAGAAACCAAAGGTCATATTAAGTACCAAGAAAAAAATAAATCCTTCCTGGAGTATATCTGTCAATTCTCCCATAAGGACGCATGGGAAAAAAAATCTATTTAACTATATTCAATTATTTTCAAATATATGCTCTGAATAGTTTCAATGTCATACTTGTTTTTGGAGTAGCCAGGATGTGCTTTCTTATGGCTAAAAGGACTTCCATTTGAACCAGATACTAAGCAAAAATTAAAATGTTAAAATTGTGACTTCTTTAACACAGCCTTTTGGTTTTGGTTCAGAAAAATAATTTCTCACTTAAAGGATGTATTCTTTTATAGGCCACAAAATATCTTGAAACACCTATCTTTATAAAGAGGTTTTTATGTAACAATCAAATAAATGAATACATTAGGTTTTTATTATGGCTTAAAACCTAACTCAAAACAGAAAGACCGACAGAGAATTAAAAAATTAAAATTTTTTACATGAATTTTTTGAGTATCAGGAGAATCGTCAGAAATTGGAGGCTTTTCTTCTGGTAAGTCAACACTTTCTTTTAGTGCATCAACTTCTATTTCATGATCTTCTTCTAAATTCACTATTTCCTGGTCAAGCCTATGTTCAGAGATAACAGGACTTTCAGAGGTAACGAGCCCAGAGCTTCCGCTATCACCAAGGACATCGGCCATAGCTGAAAGAAAAATGAGAGTTCATCTTTCATGTTTGTAACTGAAAAAATAATATATACACTATTTGGGAAGCAAACAGAGGGAAAAGGCTACCCTGAACTTTAGAATATTTCCTTGAAAAACTTTTATACTGCCAAAACTGATATACAAGGATTTACACGTTAATCCTGTTTCTTTAGTATCTAATTACTCAGTTTAAACAATATATGTCCTGCCTGACTGGTGTGGCTTGGTGGTTGAGCGTCGACCTATGAACCAGGAGGTCACCACCGTTAAATTCCTGGTCAGGGCATATGCCCAGTTTGTGGGCTTGATCCCCAGTGTGGGGCGTGCAGGAGGCAGCTGATCAATGATTCTCTCTCCTCATTGAAGTTTCTATCTCTCCCTCTCCCTTCTTCTCTGAAATCAATAAAAATATATTTTAAAAAAATACACGTGGCCCTAACCGGTTTGGCTCAGTGGATAGAGCGTCGGCCTGCGGACTCAAGGATCCCAGGTTCGATTCCAGTCAAGGGCATGTATGTTGGTTGCGGGCACATCCCCAGTAGGGAGTGTGCAGGAGGCAGCTGATCAATGTTTCTCTCTTATCGATGTTTCTAACTCTCTATCTCTCTCCCTTCCTCTCTGTAAAAAATCAGTAACATATACTTTTTAAAAAAATACATGTGCTTTTCACAAGGATAAAACACATTAGATAAATTTTACATTTAAAAATCACTGTTTTTTCTCAACTGGAATATAATTTTTGTACTTATTGTAAAACATCAATATGATAAATGCTTTGAGGAGCTCAGATGTTTCTTATTAAATTAATCTGAAAATTATACTCACCAGTTTAGATAACCAGCTATCCTTGTTGAGTAATTATAGAATTGAGGGATATGAAATCTGGGCTTTAACCAAGCTGTGAAAAGGACTACATAGCAGAAAGCACCCAAATGGCCACAAATATACTTCACCACTTAAAAACTTCCTTATTCTTTCACCTTCCTCTTTGCCAAAATTTTGTCATTAGTGCATGCAAGCCATATTTGGATTTAGTGTTTGTGAATGATACCAAATTCTAAATTAAAAAATCAGTTAGTGTAGCCCTGGCCAGTGTTCTCAGTGATTAGAGTGCTGCCACATGCAATGAAGGGTCTCGGGTTCGATTCTCAGTCAAGGGCATGTACCTGGGCTGCAGGTTCATTCCCACCTTGGTCTGGTGTGGGAGGCAACCATTTGATGTGTCTCTCTCACATCGATTTTTCTCTCTCTCCCTTCCTCCCACTCTCTCTGAAAAGCAATGGAAAAAATATCCTTGGGTGAGGATAAACAACAACAAAAACAACCAACCAGGAAAAAGCATTTTTACACATTTCACAGATAATGGGTTAATATACAAAGACTGCTTATAAAAAAGGAAAAAGTTTTTCACCAGTTTGACAAAGAGGAATGGGAAAATACATTGCATGCTTCTTTCTATGCATGCTACCTTCTAATCATCAGTGTCTGAAAGCATAAACAACCAAGTATTAAAAATCTGTGCCTACTCCTTGACTTTGTTTAGGAATCCATGTTTAGGAATCTACCCAACAGAAACACTGATATATAATGTGCAAATATTATATATTATATACACACAAGAATATTCGTTGGAGAAATGAAACAGCAAAACAAAAATGGTGATCAGCTCAAATGTTCAACAATAAATAATTAGTTAAGCATACCAGAGAACATCCATACTACCACATATATTATAACCATTAAAAAAGACAGGATTAATCTAAACTAATGACAACGAAAATTGTCTTAAGCATATTAAGTGGAAAAATTTTGCTTTTAAAAAAGTGTTAAAAAAAGTGTTAATTATAACAGATACCATTTATTGAGCTTTTATTAACATTTAAAGCTATTAATATTTTACAGACAATGGATAGCCCAGTCTTATACACTGTAAGTGCAGAACTGAGTTACAAACCCAAGCAATCTGGTTCAAGCCTCTGTACTCTTTAGCGATCATATTTATCTCCCCTTCCTCTTTCAACATGTGGGGGTAAATATGCATATGGAAAAAAATTTCAGGAAAAAGGAAGCTGCCCTATGTAGATATGAGTCCCAGAAGATTAAGAAGCAGGTATGCAGTCTGGCTGGGTGTGGATTGGTAACTTAGATTGCTCTTCTTTGATGTTTTGAAGGAAAACAGTCCACAAAAAGCGTTCTAAGATTTCCACTGTTAGAATCATAGAGTGCATTACAAGCAACCCACGGTTTTCATAGCTGATACACCTTCAGACACCATACACACCAGAGATAAAAAATTGAGATAAATCTGGATAATAGATTCATTGGTTCTATGAATAGATCTCTTTACCAAAACACCAAAATGAAATAATTCTAAGTCAAAATAATACACATATTTATCGTTACCTGCTCTAATTGTAGAGGTGCAGGTTTCAACTGATATTTCGTCTAAAATTGGTACCTTGGACTTCGGGGTGAGGATTTTCCTTTAGAAAAAGAAATACATATTTGACTGTGAGAAGATCCCATTTGCTCTAATATGCTTTAAATCCTACTCCCTTACCTACTTGTCATATTGCTAATAAAAACCAAGGTTCAGAGAAATTAGTAAGTTCACTCTGAACTTCTATAAAATCTATGTGAATTTATGCTATTATTTGTTTCTCCCACTTTCCAATATTTCACTTTATTGGCAATAATGACATGGCCTTAAATTACAAGCAAAATGATTTTAAAATGTTGCTCGGAACAAATGGCACTTATACCAATTTTTAATTACTGGTGGCCATGTTTTCCAAATAAATCTGTCAAATATTATGGGACATTTCCTCTACACTCAGGAGGAGGTTCAGTATTTTAATGCTAAGATTAAGGAATAACTCAGAATGGAAAACTAATGGGATCTGCATTATTTAATCCACTTCATAAAATTAAGTTTTGGAAATATGCTGACAGTGATCCTTCCTATTCTGAGCTGGCCTCCTCCGCCAAACCCAACTAAAGCATGCTGATTTTTAAAAACGGGAAAAACACAATTATTAAAGTAAATTACGCATTTATTTATAGTTACTTTGTAAACTTACCTCAATCACAATGTTTATAGTAAGAATAAGAACCAACTAAATCTGTTTGTTTAAAAAGGAACTAGCTTGCCAAGAAGGAGAATATTCACCTAGCTCACTGAAGACTAAAGTTTCTTTTTTTTTAAACATTTTTTTTCTTTATTAAGGTATTACATGTGTGTCCTTCTCCCCCCAGTGCCCCTCCCCACCCCACCCACTCATGCCCTCGCCCCCTGGTAAGACTAAAGTTTCTTATCATGTGAATGCTCTTTGCTTTGTGATTGTTATCCATCAAACCCATTTGCAGGAAATATTAGTTTTCATTAAATTAAAAAAATATTTGAATTAATAAAACAATCTGGATAATCCTTTCATACTGTTTTCTCCCACTTTTTGCATGAAGGCTTGGCAAAGATCCCAGCTGATCAGGGTTTCTTGTTTCAGAAAAGCAGCACATGACCGAGTTGAATGTGTGAGAGGCCACTGTTATGATGCTGATCTCTGTGAGTGCTTTATGAAGTCACTCTTAGGACTTACAAAGCCATTTATAATGTTGTAAGTTATGTTTTATGTGGTTAAGCTTAGTAAATGTTACTACCTTTTCCACCCCATTTTCTTAAAAAAATTGATTTTGAGAGAGAAAACATTTATTTGTGATTCTACTTATTTATGCATTCATTAGTTGATTCTTGTATATGCCCTGACTGGGCTCGAACCTGCAACTTTGCGAATCAGTATGAGGCTCTTACCAACTGAGCTACTAGACCAGGGCTTCATACTACTTCTTAGTAATTGAAACTGCAACATTTTTGGAATCCTGTACAATGGTGTCATTGTTGTTATTAGTGCTGATGTGCAATGTGTCCAGTCTTGCAATGAAATAAAGAGCTGTGTCATAAGCTGAACCAATTCACTGATTAGTTCAGCTAACTTTCAACAAAGAAAGTGGTGTACTGATATATATATGTATGTATATATATATATATGTGTGTGTGTGTGTATATATATTTATATATCTATGTATATTAATCCTCACCTAAATGGTATGTTTACTGATTTTAGAGAGAAAGAGAGAGAAACATAGATCGGTTGCCTCCCATACATGCCCCAACGGGGTATCGAACCCGCAACCTTTTGGTGCATGCATGGGACAATACTCCAACCAACTAACCTACCTGGTGAAGGCTGTACTGATTGCTTATCTTGTTGTGGACCATAAACTGTTTGGAAATCGGCATCAATCAGACCACACTTGAATAGCACTGCCCAACATCATCTAGCACATCGCCTAAATGTGCAAGTGCTAAACGAAACTAAGTGGGAGCATAACACTTCATGTCATTAAAAAACAAAACTTGGCTCGAGTTTTGTATCCATCTAATGGTAGGGAACAAAACTGCTTCTGCGCCATCTCCCGATGCTCACCTTGGTGCTATGGGAAACGCACCCCTGACCATCGGGAAACCACTGAAAACGGAAGGGACTGGGAATGAAACTCTTGGTCTTCCACAAGAATAGGACCACCAAAGACTGTGAGTTCTACCTCAACCCAAGTATGTCTCTATATATTCAGGAAATGTTGGGTATTGTTCTAAGTTTTCATAAAACTACTAAATAGCACACAATTGTACAAATGAACTTCTTTCATAACAGAAAACATTACCAAATATAGAAATGTCAAAAATGTAAGTAAGAGTTGACCTATGCATAGACTGTTTTACTGGTTCAGTTTCATTTAACATTAATATGTGAAATTTTCCCCTAAACACTTACCTTTCATGGGTTAATGGCACACAAAGAGAAGTGTCAACCCCTTGAATAGGGCTTGAGTGATTTAATACTGAAAGTGCTTCTTCTGCAACTAAGACAGCCTTTGTTTCTCCATCTTCTAAAGTGCCTGTAAACCACAGTTAAGAATATTTACAATGATCTGTGTTAATGTTTAGCAATTACTCATGGTCTGTGACTCTACTTTTCAACAAGTTCTCAGGTCTGCTCTCTGTATGTGTAGCTCGCTCCTTTGACATTAGACTGCCAACAACAGTTCCTTCTAATTCTGCGTCTAGCCCAAGAGCTTCCTCAACCCCTTTAATCTACCATTTCTCACTTTTGTCTTAACAGCCACTGCTACAAGTGTTTTAGATACAATTCACTTAATCCTCAATATTCAAAGTGGCAGTACTATTATCCCCATTTTAAAGATGAAAAAACAAGCATATAGTTATACTGCTTATCCCAGATCACAAACCTAGTTAAGTAACTGAGCTAAGAGCCTAATACTTACCTTTCAAATTATTTTAGTGGAATACATTATATGAAAGAGTAATGTAAACTTCCAGACATACGCTGTTTATGAAAAAACAATACTAAATCCTGAGAGCAACTAATAAAGGCTTGTTTATTAAAGATATCACAGCCTGGCCAGTGTGGCTCAGTGGTTGAGCATCAACCCATGAACGGTTTAATTCCCAGTCAGGACACGTGCCAGGGTTGTGGGCTCAATCCCCAATAGGAGGCATGCAGGAGGCAGTCAATCGATGATTCCCTCTCATCACTGATGTTTCTATCTCTCTCTCTCTTCCTCTCTCTGAAATCAATAAACACATACTGGAAAAAAATGACATCATAGCCCAAACTTCACTGGACTCAGAAACCTTAGTTCAGCTCAGGCAGGAAATATTTCCCAAAAGAAGTCACTATGACCCAGATTTTCATAAAAGTACCTGGTTTTACAGATTTAAAAGTAGGAGTTACCTTTAAAGAAGCTTGATAAAACTGTGCAGGGTTCAGAAACAAAAAGAAAACAAGTTTTCTTGTCCACCAAATCTACCCTTCCCTGCTGGTGGTCCCCTAGCTTATCACTGTCAAACTACAAGTGCTTGTTTGTTTTCACAGCCCCCTAGGCTCTAAATGACAGGGGAGCAGATGCCCATGTCCACTTTCCTCGCCTCAACAACACCCAGCACACACACACACACACACACTTGTTGCACATACATTAGGGGCTTAAAATTTTTTTGATAGATGACTATAATAATAAAAGCACAATATGCTAATTAGACCGACGTCCTTCCAGACAACCTTCCGGACGAAGCCCGGGCTACGAGGGAAGCCCGGTCCCAGGTGCCAGAGGGAAGCCGATGCCGGCAGCAGGGGGAAGAAAGGCCTACTCTTGCACGAATTTTGTGCATGGGGCCTCTAGTGAAGACAATAAATTCGCGGGCCGTTGTACATTTATTTTGATCATCCAGTGATTATTCTGGAGGTAGGGATGGAGGAAGAGTAGAAAGAGCTTCCTGGTTCTAGAGCAGCTTTTTAGATTTGCTGGATAAGTTAAAAATTGTTAATAGCAATCTCATCTAAAGTTAGTATTATTTCTCATAGCTATAAGGCCTTAAGTCAGACTGAGAGTTAACATTTCTTCCTTAAACATTACTGTTCTTCTCCCTTTCCCCCCAAAAAGGAACACAAGTACTTCTCCCCTCACATCTCATACCTATTGAGATGTGTTTATTGTGTCATGTCACTACTTAACCCTGATGCTTTTTTATCGTGAAAAAAATTCTATTACAAATGAGGGCCATCAATAGCCATTTTGAATACTTGGAAATGAGTTCTTACCTGCTGGTTTCTCCAGCTCTAGAGGAGTTACTGACTCAAACACATCTTCATCATTGTCCTTCTCAGTCTTTTCAGCTGGATTAGTCATCAGTCCAGTGGAAGCACTGGCTGGCTTCGCAGCCATGACATGTTCAAACTCTCCTGGCGATGGGGCGTCTTGGTACTCCAGTGACTCGGTAGAAACATTGCTGTTTTCTTTGCTCACATCCAGTTTCTCCAAACTCCGTGAAGGAGTATTTTCTGACCTCGCGTCCATTTCTTGATGGCCCATGTCAGGGCCATTCAGGGAAAAAGGTGTCTTATCTTTGTTCGCCAGCCACTCCGTGTCTCCTGGAAGTCCACATTTGTAGAAAGGTCTGGTCACAAATGCTTTTGTTTTGCTATCATCTGCAGCCTGTTAAGTAAAAGGTTTTGAAACATAATTTTTACTAGTAAAAATCAGTCAAGTCAAAGCTATTAATGCCAATCATTACCCACCCTTCCCATCTTAATCAAAATTCATGTATTCTAAATCCATTCTCTTCAGATACATGATTGAAGTTTAATGATTGTTAATGTTTCTCTAATTAAAAATCAGTATTTCCAAGACTTTAACAGGCAAGGTGACAATAATCATCAATTGGGTTCCTATTAACAACCCACAGTGGAACTCTGAAGATATATCCTCCTAAATAGATAATCAATTAGGAACTTAATAAGAGAAGCAAAACAATACAGGTTAAAAAACAAACGAACATGGGCTAAAAACTAGGTCTTGGTTCTAGTCCCATTTCTGACACCAAATAGCTATTTGTCAGCAATTTATTTGGTGCTTTGTAAGCCCTACTTTTCCCGCCTGTAAATGATGGGTTTGGCTTCGGCAATATCCAAGTTTCTTTCTGAACTATTATTTTCTGATTTCATGACTATCTGGCAAGATTGTATACAAAAATCTATAGTGATATTATTAAAATGATATATCTAACTTTTTACTTGTGGGAACTGTCTTTTTGTTCCAAATGTGATCAAACTTACTCCAGAAGTCCATTTTGTGGTCATGCCATCTTCCATGAATGAAATTCTAGTTTCTTTAAGCCGTAATGGAGGAGTAAGAGACCTTCCAGGTGACTGAGAGGGAGACCCTAAAGGTGTTGATCGAAGACCAGACCTTAGGATGGATTGAGGAGTGAACTCGGCAAATCCAGAGGAAGTAATTGACATGGCCAAAGTTTTAGCTTTCTATGACAAAGAGTAAATGGAAATCCACCATTAGTATCTCTAACAGGCAGATACATAAAGATAGATAGGGTCAACTGAATCACAACGGTGGCCAAATTCTCATCTCAAATAAACACGTAAGTTTTATTATAGATTACTGGAAAGAAAATGTAAAATTCTATTCAGAGCATTCTATATGTAAGACTACAAAACATAAAAGTGCATCCATAATCATTCTAAAGGCCTTGGTTGTTCCAAGTATAAAGTCAACTTAAAAGTAAAGTGCATAGATAAGAGAAATTATTTTACTATTGTTTAGAAAACTTTATACTGTAAAATATATTTTTATTTCAGAAATGGAGAGGGAGAGATAGAAACATCAATGATGAGAGCTAATCATTGATTGGCTGCCTCCTGCACACCCCCTATTGGGGATCCAGCCCGAAACTCTGGCAGGTGCCCTTGACCAGAATCAAACCCGGGACCCTTTAGTCTGCAGGCTGATGCTCTATCCACTGTGCCAAACCGGCTAGGGCTGTTTAGAAAACTTTAGATCAGCGATCCTCAACCTGTGAGTCACGACCCCTTTGGCGGTTGAACGACCCTTTCACAGGGGTCACCTAAGACCATCCTGCATACCAGATATTTACATTACAATTCATAACAGTAGCAACATTACAGTTATGAAGTAGCAACGAAAATAATTTTATGGTTGGGTCACAACGTGAGGAACCGTATTTAAAGGGCCAGAAGGTTGAGAACTACTGCTTTAGATAAAAGAGATAGTGTTGATGAACAGAACCTAGCTTAATTATAGCAATCTAATCTAAATTAATGAGACTGACATTAAGAATCCAACAGTACCTAAATTATTTATAAAAATTATAATGAATAAAAATAATTAGCATAGAAAATATTTACTAGAAATAATCCCTTCACTTAACTTCTCTAAAGAACTAGTGAACAAATTATCCCCAATTAAATCTGTTACAAGATTATATTGATTTTTTTTTCCTAGACTGTTTTTGGCAGCAGGGACAAAATTATCTTGATTTTATTTCATTTAAACCTAGCTGCAGACAATATAAAATTTGATTGCTTTTTTGAAGAAAAAATGTTAGAAATACTGTACTGGATATTAAATTTTTTTTTTTATATTTTATTGATTTTTCACAGAGAGGAAGGGAGAGGGATAGAGAGTCGGAAACATCGATGAGAGAGAAACGTCGATCAGCTGCCTCCTGCACACCCCCCACTGGGGATGTGCCCGAAACCAAGGCACATGCCCTTGACCGGAATCGAACCTGGGACCCTTGAGTCCGCAGGCCGACGCTCTATCCACTGAGCCAAACCGGTTAGGGCTAAATATCAGGAATTTAATAGTCTTAATCCTTTTCAACTTACTTTAGGATAAGCATTTACCGAAGTATCTTTTACTCAATTTGAAAAATAAAGAAATTCCCTGGTTCATTACAATGCTAGATATCAAGGAACAATAAAAAAGAAAAAAAAAAAAGAGAAAAGATCCTAGGATTAGATCTAGAACACTGGACAAGGAGCTAGGTAGGGGTGGGCAAACTTTTTGACTCGAGGCCCACAATGGGTTCTTAAACTGGACCGGAGGGCCGGAACAAAAGCATGGATGGAGTGTTTGTGTGAACTAATATAAATTCAAAGTAAACATCATTACATAAAAGGGTACGGTCTTTTTTTTTTTTTTTTTAGTTTTATTCATTTCAAACGGGCCGGATCCGGCGGGCCGTAGTTTGCCCACGGCTAGAGCTAGGGGATAACATATGTAAACACATTTTGACAAGATGAAGGTAAAAGATCACTGTTACCAGTCATCATACGCTTAGTTTTGTGGTTTCTCAGCTAGTAATTTATCAGAGAGGGTGGAGGCAATTTAAAGACAGATTATCTATTAGAAAAAAGTAACGTTTATAGTTGCATTGAAGGAGCCAGAGAATTAAAATTAATAAATCTAAGAACTAAAAGGCATTTGATGGAATAACAGCAAAAGGGAATAAGAAATAGAATTTAAAAACTAAGAAAGTAAACCCAAGAATGTGAAGGCATTTTTCAAAGAATACAGGCCAATTTATAAGGATCACAAAGAGCCTTTCAGGACAACAATATAATAACTGTTAACCTTGAGTATAGAGCCATTTAAGCACAAAGGGTAAATTCACCAAATTCTATTAAGAAGATGTAAAAGTAAAGAAAGCATTTTGGAAAGATATCCACAAAAAGAGGGAAATAAAGGCTTAAGTCATCAATCATTCAGAAATATCAGTTATAAATAGCTATTTCTCCCTGCTACTTAAAAATAATAACTTCCCAGCTTCACTAGGAATGCTAGGTATGGAATACTCACCTTCACCACAACAGGAGTTTCAAGTAAATGTAATTCTGAAGCCCTGGAGGTATTCTGATGTGATCCTTTTATTGGTGAACTTACTGACAATGAAGTAGGTGTTAGGTACAAAGGATATCTGGGGGGGGTTTGCTGAATAAACCCCAAACACTGAGACAGCTGGGGAACAGGATGCACAACCAAATCCAGCAGTCTGTAATCAGAGTACATACATGAGTAGAAAAACCCTGTAACTTGTTTATTGAGTTATACTAAGGAAATGACAGAATTTAGTAACCCATTTAATTACTCAGGCTTTTACATTCACTGGTAAATATGATAAACTGCATTAAATATAAATTCAGTCAAGTACATTAACGATGCATGCTTAAAATGTCAGAGTACTGATTCAGTAGCAAAATAGAGAATTAAGAATTCTAGATAATTGATCTAAAAAAGGGGAGTTCTAGTCCTCCTCCCTCCCTTTTTACCAGTGTTTACTAAGCCCCCACTATTTGCCAGGTATTTATTTTTTCAAATGAAGATGAACTGCTAATGATTTAAAATATTAAAATATAAAAAAAAATAGGGCAATACTTCCCCAGCAATCTATTTGCTATAATTCATCTCATCTACTTATAATGCACATAATGAATACTGGCTTATTCTACCTTTATGGTTCTCATCACAATAAAGACTAGACTGACCAACAAAAAGAGTTTTACTCTCCCACGTGCCTGTTGCTCCGCAGAGAACCACTGGGAAGGGCAGCACGTTTTGGTGCCCAGAAACGAACAGGACCAGCCGCTCCGCCTTTCCTGTCTCCTCTCACACGTGCTCTTCACTATGGAGGGCAGACCAACAGAGGCAGCAGGTGCTCGGGACCCACCACCCACTGCGGGCGTATTTACAAGAAACATTGTTCTTTTTTTTTTCTCTTCTGTTTTTTGTTTTGTTTTTTTAAAATATGTTTATTGCATTGGGGGGGGGGGGGGGGGGAGACAGACATCCATGATGAGAGAGAATCATTGATTGGCTGCCTCCCGCATGGCCTCTACTGGGGATGAGCCCACACCCGGGCATGTGCCCTGACCGGAATCGAACCTGGGACCCTTTGGTCTGCAGGCTGATGCTCTATCCAGTGAGCCAAACTGGCCAGGGCAAGAAGCATTTTTCTTAATACATGGTCTCTCTACTTGTTATTCTATACTAACACAGCTTTGAGATTTCCATTAAACAACAATATGCAAATCAGGTTGCTTGGCATTTTTTTCTCCACTGTTTGTTCTAATTATTTTCCTTTTTTCCTTCATTTGTATTCAAATTCTGTATCTGTAAACTACTTACTCACTTTTACACTGAGCTACCCCCAAATAAATGTTTTGTTAATCCTCACCCGAGGGTATTTTTTCCATTTTTTTTGGAGAGTGGAAGGGAGGGGTGGAGGGAGAGGGAGAAACAGCAACTGGTTGTATCCCACACCCCCCCAACCGGGGTGAAGAAAGAACCTGCAATGAAGGCACGTGCCCTTGACCATTGGCACACTGGACAGGGCCCAAATAGACATTTTGTAAAATGCTTTGCACTGTGCTAACACTTATGTTTTAGGTGCCTATTTAGGAATGATTGCTTTTCAAAAGCAGGGCTTATGCGACAAATGGCACCAGCGCCTGCCTAAGTAAAAGCCAAATTCATATACTACCAAGAGTTATACTAAAAAAACACACTCCAGTTATACTATAACACTATTAGAAAAACTATTTTTTAATTAAGTTTTCTAAAGAAAATGTTAATTATTGCATTAAGTCTTAGGATTTCCTCAACTTTTGACCATGATCCAAATAAGTAATGCACTTTAGGTCATACACAAAATATAAATTACATAAAATAACACTTAGCAACCAATCTCTCACATCGATGTTTCTCTCTCTCGCCCTCCCTTTAACTCTTTCTAAAAATGAATAGAAAAGTATCTTTGGATGAGGATTAACAAAAGGAAAAAGAAAAGATTTAATAAATTCTTACCTAGAAACTTTTTGTGATGCTTTTAAAATTGGTGTTCCAACAAATGCCCCAGGCAGCTCTGGATCTGGGAGAGAACACACTACAGGAGATGGTCCTTCTATTCTAGGACTACAAAGAAAATAAAAATGTAGCTTTTGATTATGTATCACAAGGAACATTAAATTAAAAATGCTGTAAAAAGGTAGGATTAGATGGGAGAGGACGGCTTTTGTTTTTTACTCTACATTTCTGTTTATTTACAAACTAGTGTCCTGGTACATGGATTTGTGCACATTGAAAGGAAATTAATTAGAAGAAATATTTTAATGTTGCTATTTGCCCTTTCTCTATAAGTGTCAACCAAATTCACGATCAACAATGACAGATTGAAACACACACATGCGATTGGCGCCATCGAGAGCTTTATATGTATCACGCGTGTGAGTCATCTTAGCTTTTTATAGATATAGAATAAACTTGCTTAATTAGACCTGCTTTCTGATTTAGCTAAACTTTGTCCAGCCCAGTGAGGCACCCCAACTTCTCTTTCAGATAATTGTCAGCAACACAGCAGTAACTATCAACACGAAACAGATTATTATTGTAGATCACACAGGGAGAACAGAGGGTAAAAGATGTAACTGCAGCAGTGTTTGACTATATTCTGTGCAGTGAGAAAACCTGAAGTCATTTTCAAGGTCCACCATTTCTTACTTCTTTTCAGTCGGGTCAAGTTTCTAAGCTTTCTAAATCTCCATTTTCCGGCTAATGAAAAAAAAAAAGGATTCCACCGAGTCTCCTATGTACCTACTCCAGGACTTCTGTGAGGATCAAATGAGATGAGGTATGGGAAAACGCTTCAAACATTTGGTTAAAGTATAAAATGTTTGCACCTGGCTATAAAGCAAGTTGTGTTCCTGGCCTGAAGAAACTCCAAGGCAGTGGTTCTCAACCTTCCTAATTCCGAGACCCTTTAATACAGTTCCTCATGTTGTGGTGACTCCCAACCATAAAATTATTTTCGTTGCTACTTCATAACTGTAATTTTGCTACTGTAATGAATCGTAATGTAAATATTTGATATGCAGGATGTATTTTCATTGTTACAAATTGAACATAATGAAAGCATAGTGATTAATCACAAAAACAATATGTAATTATATATGTGTTTTCCGATGGTCTTAGGCGACCCCTGTGAAAGGGTCGTTCGACCCCCAAAGGGGTCGCGACCCACAGGTTGAGAACCGCTGCTCCAAGGAGTCACTAGGGATAGGAAACCAGGTGTTGCTATGTGACGTCATTACCCAGCGCACACAGCAACCATTTCCGGGCCAGGCTGTGGGCAGCATCTGCTGCGACTTGGTGGGCTGTGGCTCCAGGGTGGTGATGGGGCCTGAGTCCCACTTGGGGGAAGCTGAGTGTTGTTCTTTGGTGCCAGGTCTGCAGTGCTGTTTATTTTTAAATGGCCAGTGAGTGTTATGGCAGCTCCTGCGTTGAGCGTCTGCCCCTGTTGGTCAGTGTGCGTCATAGCTACTGGTCGGACAGACACTTAGGCTTTTATATATAGACAAATAAGTATATATATACCAATGAACATACATTTTTCTTGTAACAAAGTAGCCAAGAGCAAGAGTTTTTCCTTTTTACATACAATAAGCAGCTCCAAGGCTGCTTATGAATGCTGTTGATATCCAGGAAAGGTTAAAAAGTAACATGACTATAGAAAGTAAAACATACCTGTTGTAGGCTAAGGTGCTATTTTTAGGCTCATCACTTTTCCAAACCTCTCCAACTTTAGATAACACGTTATGGATGAAAGTAGATCTTGTTAACACAGTCCCTATTACAGCTCGCTTTGGAACTGCTGATAATGGTTTGGGCTGAGAAACTGTAAAATGAAAAATTTAGAATTCAATTTAATCTCTAACACCAGGACTTTAATAGAAGACTGATATAAAAGAGCGACTGGAAAACAGATCACAAGAGTTTGGTTAAAATTGCATTTGGTTTAATAACATCTATGTAGAAATTTATTTATTTGGGCTTTTAGAAGATGGTGAAAGTTACATGTTTTCTAAAAGTTGGACAAGAGCCTTCAAATGAAATAAAAAAGTTCTTTCATTATTTAGTACATTACTAAGTAAATTATAAAAATGTCCAAGAAAGCTTTAAACTTCTTTTTTTTTTTTAAACATATTTTTATTGATTTCAGAGAGGAAGGGAGAGAGGGAGAAAGAGATAGAAACATCAATGATGAGAGAGAATCATTGATCGGCTGCCTCTTGCTCACCCCCTACTGGGTATCGAGCTTGCAACCCAGGCATGTGCCCTTGACTGGAATCGAACCCAGGACCCTTCAGTTCGAAGGCCAATGCTCTATCCACTGAGCCAAACCAGCTAGGGCGAGCTTTAAACTTCTTGGGGTAGAATGGCCAATAAAAAAAAAAAAAAAAAGGCACCACTGTGATGATTGAAAGCAAAAGCAAGCTACAATATAAGATAGGGATGGTTGCAGAAGGCAATCACTCAGTATCTTCTCTAACTCAATGCTTTATGACGTTTTTCAATGAAATCTTACCTTTTCGAATAACTGATAATGTTGGCACACGGTAAGGCTTAGCTCGTTCCATGGCTAATTTCCGATGGACTCTCGGAAGAACTTTTCCGTACTGATCTAATATAGAATTTCGTGCCACAGATCTCTCCCGCAAGTGAGGATCACGATCATTCTATTGAACATATCATAACTAGTAAAAATTAATCTTCAACATGTTAGGTGCTATGTTTATACATTTACCTTTTAAAATATAACAATGAATATCCAAGAATATCTTCCTCCTGCCTTCTTCCAAACCAAGGGACCTCATATACACACCTAATTACTTTATCAAACCTTACCCATCAAAAGTCTCTCCTATCCAGTCTTGATTTCTTCACAACTAAAGGACACCAGTTGTCATTTACTGTTTCTACCTGTATTAGTAACATGTACTTGTTACTTCACACACACCTTTGTACACCCTGAGACATTATCATTTTACACATGAGGAACCCAAGGCACAGAGAGGATGTTCCAAGCACACAGAGCAAATTAAGACTTGGTCTGACTCCTGAAGTCCAGGCTGTGCGCACTATATAATTTCTATTACTGGCCTCTACCTCATCCTCTCCTTTTCCCTAAGTGAAATGATTAGTCTGGCAAGATCACAGACAGATATTTAAACAGAAATGGAGTATAAAAGAGAATTAGGTAAATAATAATACCCTATTCCTAATTTTGCTATAGAAAGTAAGAAGAGGATTCTCCAAACTCAAATTCATATAAAGCTCAGTGGTTGGTTACCAAACTACAAACTCTTAGATAACCAAGTCACTAGTTTTTCTTCTTTCCTTATCCCCCATAACAAGTTTAACTATACCGTAAGATTAATCTTCAGAGTTTGGTTCAGCTTCAAGGCAGGGATGTAATTGGCACGTTGTAAATGGTGAACTAAAAGTAACTCATGATTCTGAACACTGGTGCTGGACTGCAAAAACCTCACCAAACACTCCTAGGAAGAATAGAACACATTTGTAAGCTACTAACACATCCTGAATTCCTGACACGTTTTTATTGGTAAGTCATTACCTGCTCAGTGTCTGTAAATGGTAGCTTCAGTAAGTCCTCCATTAAGCCCATTTCCTGACAGCCTTTATACGTGTGCTCTAGTAACTCCTCTATATTCGATCTACTAGAATGGTATCGCAGTAAACTCCAGGCCTCTATCATGCACCTGCAATCAGTATTTATCAAAGTTTCGTTTTAGAAAAGCTATGTAAAGTGTTCAAAACAAGTAATTCACCTAAAGATTCTCAAAGATACTCCATACATGTAACTGAAGAGAACTTAATTTTACTGAATACTAATCACTGCATTAAAAAGTTGGCTAATATCAACAGGCATTTTTAAAGACTCAATTTTATGCTGTTCTATATCATTATATAAGTGTAAAATAATAGGAAAGCAAAATAAGTACACAGAAGGTCAAGAGGATAAAAAACTAATGTGATCTAAACAGAACTGAAAAATTAGCATGATGTGACAGAGAAGAGCCAGGCTCTTAAGGAACTGACTGCTTGCATGAGAAAGAAGAGTAGAAAAGAAAATAAGCAAAGATGGAAACAAGAAGATGGTGTTAATGGGGAATTGAAGGGTTTAGCATAGTAACAGAAGATTTGGGCTGATCTGCAGCAAGATCTGACTAGAGGACTTGGACGAAATCAGACATTTTAGACAGCGTGAGGAACAATGAGCTGTGGGCAATAGGTCATTAAATGAAGCAGTGTTTCTCATTATACACTGTGAAAAGAAAAAAAAAGCTTAAAACAGTGTAGTGATTACAATGTTAAGTTAACCAATAAATAAAGCCAATAAATGTTTATATATTTATTAAATAATAACATGTCTTGAAAGATATACACCAAAATTGAGAATGATTAATCTGGCATGTAGAATTTTGAGGGCCTAATAACTTTCAAGGCAAAAGAGGGATAGAATGGCAAAATAGACAGGAACATCAAGGAAATGATATCTTAAAAACCCACAATATCATTTCGAATTCTAAGTCAACAGGTAATTTTTACTGTAGTGGGTTAATAAAAAAGATTTAGCTATAGTTTTTATTGAATAACAAATACTGAAATAAAGACTAGTAAATAAATGACATATATAAGAAACATAGAGTATGTGAACCAAGTTAAGGCAATTAATGTTCATAATGAAATAAATCTGAGGAAATTTTGAGTGGTCCTTTGTTTTTATTTCTGAACTTCACTGTATAGGACACAATGTTGCTAGATTTTTGGATACTGGAAGCTTTATTATACTTAAGAGAAGTATTTAAATTACATAATGTTTGCTATGGCTAAAGAAGAGAAAATGAGGATCTTAGCAACTCAGAGAAACATGCTATGATTGAATTCAAAGGACAATGGAATAAGAAAAACCAGCAGACTTTCAAAGGTATTTTCTAACTTTCCAACATCTGCACTTTGATGTAAGCATTAGTGATCAATTACCACCTCTTTAAAGTCACTGAAATTAATGAGAGAAGCTTACATGCAACTGAGAAAAATTTACATGCTGCTTGCCAACCCAGTGTTAGAATCCTTTACCCATTTATTTTTAAATACATACATATATATATTATTGATTTTTAGAGAGAGGGGAAGGGAGAGATAGAAACATCATCTATCGACTGCCTCCTGCACGTCCCCTGCTGGGGAATCAAGCCTGCGCCCCGGTATGTGCTCTGACCAGGAATCAAACCAGTGACCTCTTGGTTCATGGGTGGAGGCTCAACGACTGAGCAATACCAGCCAGACTACCCATTATTAAATATTTGTCACTTTTAGCTTCTTATATTTGCTCTAGACAATTTCTTAGCTAGCCAAACAACTTTTAAAAAAATGATTTTTAGAGAGAGAGAAACATTGACTGTTTTTTTTTTTTTCTTGTGCAGGGGCCATACTAATCTTCTCTGTACCGTTCCAATTTTAGTATATTTGCTGCCAAAGCGAGCACTCACTGTTTGTGTTTTGTATGTGCCCTGACTGGGACTGAACCCACAACCTTGGCATATGGGTACGACACCAACTGAGCGACCCAGCCTGGGCCTAGTCCAGTGATGGTGAACCTATGACACGCGTGTCAGAGGTGACACATGAACTCATTTTTGGGTTGATTTTTCTTTGTTAAATGGCATTTAAATATATAAAATAAATATCAAAAATAGAAGTCTTTGTTTTACTATGGTTGCAAATATCAAAAAATTTCTATATGTGACACGGCACCAGAGTTAAGTTAGGGTTTTTCAAAATGCTGACACGCCGAGCTCAAAAGGTTCGCCATCACTGGCCTAGTCAAACACTTTTGCTCACCTAAATTATTTCCACAAATACTTCCTAATTCATTACTTTGAGGACACTATAAGTTTCTACATGTCTAGCCAACCTATTATTAAACTACAAAAGTTTTCTTCTGATTCAGCCTTCACCACTCAGAAATACATTCTGTTTAACCAAATGGAACAAAGAAAACTTAACTTTCGGAGTGGTGACATTAACATGCTGTTTGGTTCACAAATGATGCTTGGGGTGAGTAAAATGACCAATTTATAAAAACATAAAAATGACCAAACACCCAGCTGGAGTGGTTCAGTGGTTGAGCATCATGCTGTGCACGGAAAGGTTGATGGTTTGATTCCATCAGGGCACATACCTGGGCTGCAGTTGGGGCACATATGAAAGGCAACCAGTTGATGTTTCTCTCTCACATCAAAGTTTCTCTCTCTTTCTAAGCATGTCCTTGGGGAAAAATTTTTAAAAAGAAGAAGAAAAAAGACCAACCAAAAAGATAGAAACAAAACACACAGTGTGAGTTGTATAAAATAAAGTTACAATTTGGTAAGAAATTTCAGTTCCAAGCAATTTCCCCAACGAATTTAGTTAATAAGAAAACCCAATAACCAGACCATCATATTTTCAACCATGTCATTTAACTTGTCACCATTAATATATACAGTAAATGTATCATGCTGATACATTAAACACAAGAGAACATTAAAACACTGCCAAGGGAAGAAAAAAAAGAATATAAAGATATCACCTGCTCAAATCTTGTTCAAGTATTAAGATGTGAAACCTGAAACTTTCTTAAATTATTTGAACAGATGCTTCAAGACTTCCTTTCTATAACAATGCAATAGCAAATATCAAAAGCAAAGCACTGCAATACCCAACAACCAATATTACTGAAATACTGGAGTACCATTATTGGGATATATCTCAAAGAATAGAATTATCACCCTGGCCGGGTAGCTCAGTTAACTAGAGCAACGTCCCTGTATGCCAAGGTTGTGGGTGCCATCCCCTGTCAGGACACATATAGGAATCAACCAATGTATGCATAAATGGAACAACAAACGATGCTTCTCTCTCCCCCTTCCTCTCACTCAAAGCATGCATAAATAAATAAATAAACAAACAATAACCAACTCAAGATGATTTTATTCTTCCTCGATACTTCTGGCTCCTTTTCAGTATACTCAGACATTAACTATCCATGCAGGAGACTACCAATATTATCAATTAGCAACAGATATAATTTTAAACCTCAGTTTGGTTTCCTCTTTTACTCAAGGTACTTCTTATTTATGTTATTCTAGATAAAAGATGTTTTACATTTTTCTTAAGGTTGAAAGATGAAGAATTGTAAGGATACTATGTAATACAATAAAAGCGAAATATATATCGCTACTACATACTTCATCAATACCATTATATTAACAGTTAAGATCAAAAGTTTGATTATCCTTTCAAAGTATGTACTTACCTATTAAAAAGCAAAACAGTGATGTGAAGGATAATATCACTATCACTGGATACTGTTGGCTTCATTGTCTGAATATATCTGAGGGCTTGTCTGTGCTCGCCCTGGCTCATAAAGGCTTGGATAATCTTTGAATGCTGCCATGAGAAAGGTTTTGCAGTAGCTGGATGAAACAGAAGATCCAAACCAGTCTGCAAAAATGACATGAAAACTGGTAAACACAAATACATGCTTTGCATTCATACGAAGTAGCACACCTTTAAAAAGACAGGCAATACTAAAGCCACAAAAATCCAGATAAAACCAGTGTGAATGTCAACCTACAGTATACTTTATTTTCAATAAAAGCCTTATCAAAAACCTCATGCTTTTGAGACCTCATTAACAATTATAAATTATACAAAATCTTTCCATCACCAACCTAACATATCAATGCTAAATCCTGCCTTCTGTGGGCACAAATAAGAATCAACCAATGAATGCAACCAGTGAAAATAACTTGATGTTTCCCTCTCGCGTGTTCTCTTTCTTCCTCTCTCTCTCAAATCAATTTTTTAAAAAGAGCAATTAGTACCAGTGCTCTCAAGATGTAGAAAAACACAAAACACTAAACAGATTTCTAAACTAACAATCACCATATCTGCACTATTAGTCATTGTTACCTATTTGTTTCCTTCTTTAAGCAGTGAGACACCTGAAGTTTTATCTTTGTATTTTTACTGCCTAAGGTAGTGAAGGCATTATTTGAACTGACTCCTTACATTACCTCTAGAAATAGGTTCAATCGTATCTTTAATATAAATTTTAATCATTATTTTAATAGTTCACAAAAGCTTTAATTCTAAGTGAACTAACAGACTCACCTCATAGTCATTATGATCGATCAGCCAAAATCCTTGAATAAGTTTAACCTGGTCCCAAGAAATGGCAAAGGCAGTTGGAAATGATTCAATTGAAGTATCTGTTTTGTTTGGGAATGAATACATAATATCAAGTAGCAAATAAATGGTCTTTTAAAAAGTGGGTTAAGGACAATAAACATAAACTTCTACCTATATATTTATAATAGGTAGCAACAGAATATAGCAGGAATGATTCTTGAAAGACTTTAGTTTTTAGAAAACCATTATGAACGCCCAGCTAGGGGAAGTAGTTTTATTAGATGTGGGTATAGGCAATCCCACACCAGCTTCCTTCATTCTCCATAGGAAGCACCACCACAAAAGAGAAGAACTAAAGCGTACTTGCTTCATGAAGTCAGTAGCTTAGCAAATTTAAGAAACAAAGCTATAGACAAATTCATTAGCCAGCAAAACTTAGCAGCTTAAGCAAATGCATCAAGTGTCTTATAAACTATAAATAGAACTACACGTTTTCAGATTAATAACTGACATTAGGACAAAAACCTTACTGCATCGACCACAGGGCTCAACACAATGTCTAAGGTAATAAATATTAAACAACCTTAAATGTATTCATATTCAGTACATAAGTTAACCTATTTGAAAATGACTACTTGCCAGTAATGTTTTAGAACTGCTCTTAACTTGGGGAGTGTCTCAGACACATTTGAGAATCTGATAAAAGCACTGGACCCTACCCCTACAAAAATAAACATAAAACAAACGTTTGCATAATTTCAGGTTAACCACAGACCACTTAAACCCAACCCACAGATCCTGGGTTAAGAAACCTTCCTTTTAGGAACGCCTCAGTAAGGGCGGAAGTAGAGGCCTCTGCAGAAGTGGCAGCAGTGAGGGTGGAAGCAGCGTGACCCGCGTGGGATCTGGGGTTCTGCCCGCGCCGGGCCGCCCCCGCCGGCCGCCATGGAACTCAGCTGCGGGAGAATCTGCGTCGGGACCTGCAGGCAGAGCACGTGGAGGTGGAGGCCACGACTCCCAACCATTGAGTGTCCAGCTTCCGAGTCCTGGTGGTGTCGGCCAAGTTCGAGGGGAAGCCGCTGCTCCAGAGACACCGGCTGATGAACACGTGTCTAGCAGAAGAGCTCCCTCATATCCATGCCTTTGAGCAGAAAACCCTGACCCCAGAGCAGTGGGCCCGTAAGCGGCAGAAATAAGAGACCAGCACCTGCACAGCCATTAAATTGTGAATCAGGGCCAAAAAAAAAGAAACCTTCCTTTAAAAAAAATTCAAATGTGAAAGTGAGACTGGATAAGATTGTGTATTGGTTCCTACTATTCTGAAATTTTGTGATTTAGGTAATACATGAATTATTTAATAAAAATTTTAAAGGATACAATAAAATGTTTGCTTGTTTCAGTAACATCGTCTAGTAGGTATATGTCAAGTAGTGCCTATAAAAGAGATAAAAAATTCAGTCCATTTTATGTGCCCACTAGAGGCCCAATGCACAAAATTCATGCAAGAGTAGGCCTTCCTTCCCCTGGCTGCCAGCACAGGCTTCCCTCTGGCACCTGAGACCTGGGCTTCCCTCGCCGGGAAGGTGTCCCGTCTAATTAGCGTATTACGCTTTTATTATTATAGATTTATTCACACTCCTGGTTTCCCCCCAAGACTGTGCCAAGTGTGACAAGTCAGTTAAGCATACCTCCCTCCCCACAACTTTGTGAACTCTTCAGTGATACCATGTTATTGCAAACCTACATGCAGACTAGGAGGAGGGTATTTTCCTGTGCCTCCTTCATCTCGTTTCCACAATTTCTCAACTCGATCTCCTAACTGAGAAACCATTCCATCGATCATCAAATAGTCAGAGTTCCATTTCCCACTGCAATAAGGGCAACATTAAAGATTATTTAACATTAGTGGTAATTATTATTATCAAGACAATAGCATTAAATTCTTAAAAGCAATGATCCCAATTATCAAAGGGAGAAGAGTTGGGAAGCAGGAGGGGGGGGGGGAGAAGAAATAAGGGGAAAAAACAAAGTCGTCCAAGTGCTGAAATGCAACTGTTAATGGAAAGAATGTAACATAACTAACTGGTGACCTATTTTAAGCTTTTTTGATGAATAGCAGCTTCCAGTTTTGTTTTTCTGAATAAGAATTCTCAGAAAAAGCACGTTTAAAATTATAGAATCTCCTCTAATTATGAATGGTGGTAAATAGCTTTCTTTAGGAAATAACAAATAGCTATACTCAAGTTCTAAAGTGAAAGTGTGACCATCAGGTCAAGGCAAACATTACAAATAAAACAGTAATGTTGGTAACAAATTCTGAGAATTCCACCCATTTAATCATTTTATAACAGGATGAATGTTGTTCTACCTCAGAAGGCGTTCTGACTTCCTACAGGAGAAATGTCTAACATGTTGCTGGAAGGTTCTGGATGTACTATACCTTGATAAAAGCTCACACTTCTGCCGACGACTGGTGTAGTAGCTCTGAATTACAGGGTAGTTGTAGCATAACCTTGACAACTGCACAGCATCATCTAGATTGTTTTTTTAAGAGTTGGAAAAAAAGCTAGTAATATTTCCAAAATATCCCAACAATACTTAGGTTACTCACATTGATATTTTACTATAATTTTATATTATTGTTTAATTTGTAGGCTTCCTAAACTTCAATAATATACCCACCCCTTTATTAATAGATGCACAAATGAGAAAACCAAGTCTCTCATAAACACCTGTAACAATAAGGATGCTAAGAGAATTATGAAAGAACAGATCAACAGCAATTATGGACAGTGAGAGAAGCAAGCTTAAATAAAATCTAATGCGAGCCCTAACCGGTTTGGCTCAGTGGATAGAGCATCGGCCTGCGGACTGAAAGGTCCCAGGTTCGATTCCGGTCAAGGGCATGTACCTTGGTAGCGGGCACATCCCCAGTAGGAGGTGTGTAGGAGGCAGCTGATTGATGTTTCTCTCTCATCAATGTTTCTAACTCTCTATCCCTCTCCCTTCCTCTCTGTAAAAAATCAATAAAATATATTTTAAAAAAATAAAAATAAAAAAAATCTAATGCGAATCCTGGAAATGCAAGAAGTTAATAAGCTTTGAAAGTGTATTTTAAACAAATACAGCAAAAGTCAAATTCTCTAATTCTTGATATTGGCATCAATCATTAGATAAAACAGGGGTGGGGAATGTCCGGCCTGCAGGCTATATAAGACCTGGGAAATTATTAGGTCTGGCCCTGCCAGGGTATTAGGGGTGAGTTAATTAAATGTTTGACCAAATATATCAGGTTAATTTTTAAGTTGATAATTTTGTATGGCCCATGAATGATACTATAAATATCCACATGGCCCTTGGCAGAAAAAAGGTTCCCCACCCCTGAGATAAAAAGAGGTATTTAAATGATGGTAAATATTTGTTAATAACCATATTAAAAGAACTCTTAAAATAAAAAGATTGACAAATTAGATTATAAGATGTGTAAGTTCTATGGACCTAAATTATAGCTGGTGATATTGAATCAACTTTCAGAAGCCATGATATTCTTTCAAATATTCTTTCCTTCAAAATGTTCTTTAACCCAATAAACATGTATGGAAAACCTGTGTATCAGGCATGGGGTGAGGTACTGAAGATAAACAGAAAGAATATAAGAAAAGAAAGTAAGAATAAAAGTGAGGTGGTAGAAGAAAGAAAACCCAAAACATTAGAACACAACCACAAAATTATAAAGATTTAAGAATGTTTCAATTAATATTTATAGATAAGTAAATATTTTACCTAAGCCCTCTGGTAAAAGCCCAGAGTGAGAGAACCAGAGAACCATTTGTGCATACTGACAGATGAGCTGGGAAACCACACATTTATTGGTTAAGTTCATACGGCCTGTAAAGAAGAGTTAAACATCAGTTGTTTAAACTACAACCACAAATGAAAAATCAAGACACTAATTAAAAAACTAATTAATTCTTTGGTTATTTTTAACAGTAAGTTAAAACTTAGGTTGAACAAATAACTCACTAAAGTAGACGTTTTAGGTATGTTTCTATCTCAGCTACACTTCCATTTACCTAATTTCAGAAGTCAAGTTTATACACTGCTACAAACTATACAGTATCATTAATATACCATAGGTTGTTCATATCAGACCTTTAAATAAAACTGACTGTTTTGTTTAAATGGCAAAACAGCAGAAAACATTACAATGACCTCTGTTAATAAAAACTTATGTATAATTTAAAAATTTGAAATTCTACCATAAATATACTACCTTAAAAGCCATTAGGTTTAAATCCAGAATTTGCCACTTATTTAAGCATGGGCTCATGATACACCTAATAGCATTATGTAGCTTTTCATAAAAAAAAAAACCACACACACACACACACACACACACAAGAAAAACAAAACAGCATTTGAGAAATAATGGCCTTTTTGCACAATGATCCATCTAAGACAGGAAATTTAGTCTTTTAAGAAGTCAGTAAGTAAAATTTAACAAAACGCTCATTTATATAGGATAAACAGCACACCTCTTTCCGTGATCTCTTGTGCCTCTGTTGCAAAACAGCTTAAGACTGTATTAAGATTGCTAAGCAGCAAATGGCATTGCTGAATGGATTGTATAGTCTGTGGATCAATGAAATGACACGAACCATCAAATAATGGTGTACCTTTCAAAGATAAAATATACAATCAGTTTCAACACAATAAATCTCAAATAATTAAACTCACAACTGAGAACTTTCTCTAATTCCTACTGACCACAGAATCATTCTATACTTTATGAGATTTATAAAGACGAGCTTGAAATGACAAACACCCTCAAGGAACCTAGAAGGGATAGACACAATAACTTTTTTTAAATGTAGAATGAGGTAAGCAGAATGTAGAAAAGGTGATACAGATTCAATTTCAGATTCACTAAAAATCAGTATATTCATTATCCTCCTTCAAATAAATATTTTATGTCAGAAATGTTGTGTACCATATTGTTCTGCAATTAATAAGAACTTTCTTCCACCTCCAGTCTTTAAAAAGTTAGACATTAAGATTCAGATAAAGACTTACTACAAAACTGCAGGCATGTCATAATTCATTGTAGACTCAGTTGTCCTTTCATTTTGAATTAAAGGTTGAATTTACAAGTCCTTTGGGGGGGAGTGTTTTAGTTGCTACTGGTTACATCTTTTGGTAAGATTTAATTGCATTAACATCTATATAATTGTATTTTACTATATAATGTGTAATATTTGATATATCATTTAAAACAAATATCTGAATTCTAAAACCTTCCTTCCTCAAATCAAATTATTTGCTTTACATCCTGACCGGATGTAAAACTAACTTTTTAGCTCAATTGTTGTTGGGTAAAGCATCGTTGCAATATGCCAAAGTTTGGGTTTCGATCCCCAGTCCAAGCATATAAAAGAATCAACCAATGAGTGAATAAATAAGTGGAATAACAAATCAATCTCTCTCCCTCCCAGCTCTAAAAATCAGTTAAAAAAAAAAAACTTGAGCCCTAACCGGTTTGGCTCAGTGGATAGAGCATCGGCCTGCGGACTGAAAGGTCCCAGGTTCGATTCCGGTCAAGGGCATGTACCTTGGTTGCGGGCACATCCCCAGTAGGAGGTGTGCAGGGGGCAGCTGGTCGATGTTTCTCTCTCATCGATGTTTCTAACTCTCTATCTCTCTCCCTTCCTCTCTGTGAAAAATCAATAAAATATATTTAAAAAAAAAACAAACTTGAAAAAATAAATTTGCTTTACCTCTAATACATTTAGTATACTTATATAAATCTTCATTAACCATTAATGAAGCTCAAGGCAGTAACAATGGCTGAGTTATTACCAAGTTCAACCCTGAAACACCACATGATGCTAAAAGAATAGACATAGAATTTTATAAACTGAGTTGAATTTTTTTCTTTTTTTACATAACTTACATTATCAATCCTGAAAACATTTTCTCCTGAAAAGAGTATATTTTTACTCTTATTCTGAATTATCAGATTACTGAAATATTTAAAAAATTTTAATCCATGTTTATAGTTTTATGAGTATGCCCTAAGATACAATAGAACCCCGTGTCTTCTTGTACAACTTTGATTTAAAAATTCTATTAAGAATAAATTTTGAAAAATCCATTTGTTCACTCATCATAATAGAAATAAAAACATATACTTCTAAATTAACTTTAATTTTACTTTCATGTAGAGAGCAATCATTTCTGCACTAATTGGGCATAATGGGTTTTTAATATTCACAGGATACCTCAAAACTCAAAGTACACAACTGTCAAGAAGGAAAATGACCTGGAATGCCTGATAATGACAACTGTTAGAAAACAGATGATGAGCTTTTACCCTATTTAGTTTCTTTATGCTCATAAATACTTTAAACAGAAAATGAATAAGTAGAGCAGTTTCTGAGGTTAGCTCGCATATTCTCCTTAATCATAAGCAATTTTGTAAATTAAACTCTGAAGATCAAAAGATGCATAAGATGTAATTCTTAAACTTGCCAATATGGACATAATATGTTGCCAGTTTAACAATCTGTTGCAAAATTTTCGTCAAAAAATAATTTTGTCACTCTAAACTAAAAACAAAGTTTTCTTCTGGGCCTTAAGAATTTATAATGTCAAGATGATTAAAATTATTGTTACGTACTTAAAAAGTAAATGATTAATTTTTTAATAGGGTACTTACATAGTCTGTCAAATTCCTCTTTTGTGAGAACCACTTTATTCCATGTCCATTCAAGAACAAAGCGCAAATTAGCAGCAGAATTTGGTTGTTCTAATTTGTAAATATAAAAGAAAAAATAAAGAATGATTAATTAGAAACAAAAAAGGACTAACTTTTTAGTGGAGAAACCTGACAGAAACCACCCTTACCAACTGAGCAAGATAG